AAAAAAAAAATCAAGTTGATAAACTATTGTTATGATTTAATAAACAAAATATAGATAATAAACTTAAAGATAAATCAAAACTTTAAAATTAGTTTTAAATAAATATCTGAGAGTTGTAATAATCACAAGATAAACTTAAAACCATAAACAAAAGGTTTATAAGAGATAACGTAAGGAGATTTAAGGTTGTAATAATATTGTTCAGTTTACTTTTGGTTTATGAGTAGTTTATTTTCAGTATACTTATGGATTATGACTAGTTTATTTCAGTTTACTTATAGTTTATTTCAGTTTAATTATGGTATATGAGTAGTTGGTTTATGACTAGTTTATAATAATGTTGCTCAGTTTACTTTTGGTTTATGAGTAGTTTATTTTAGTTTTACTTATGGTTTATGACTAGTTTATTTCAATTTACTTATGGTTTATGACTAGTTTATAATAACGTTGCTCAGTTTACTTTTAGTTTATGAGTAGTTTATTTCAGTTACTTATGGTTTATGACTAGTTTATAATAATGTTGCTCAGTTTACTTTTGGTTTGTGAGTAGTTTATTTCAATTTACTTATGGTTTATGACTAGTTTATAGTACGCATATTTTTATAATAGAACATGTTTCAAATGATATCAGTAGTTTGCTTATTTACTGTTTATGAATGGTTTATTTTTATTCATTTTAGAAATGCCTGTGTGAGCTATTAGTTATGTGCTTTTTGTTTGGTGAAATGAGTGACATGATGGGGTTGAAGAAAGACTATTAAGTGGGATTATTGATATTTTATTTGGTTTTTAAAATTAGTTTTCCTTAATTTATTTTATTAATGATAGTTAATTTGAGGTATACAAGTATTTTTTTATTTTAATAATATTATTTTTCTAAATAAATAAAGTAAAGCAAAAGGTCAGATATAGTAAACTAGATGAGGAAAGTTTGAACACCTGTGCCAGCTACAAGGAAAGAAGCAGACGTAAGAAAAGTTCACAATTTAATAAAAGGAAAGTAAAAATCTAAATTGGAATATAAAAGTAAATTATTCCTTGTTGTGGGATTTGCTTAAATATCTCATCATTTGGGAATTAGTTTAAGAAGAAGAAAACATACGTGTACTTTCGCCAAATATCATAGTGGATTGCAGTTGTATTTTTGTTTCCATTTTATGCGGTTTGCGTATTTTGATGTAGAAGTTTAATAAATTGTTGTTCCATGTGATAAAAGTCTTTATATCGTATTTAAGGTATTCGTGTAACTCGAGCTTGTATTTTTTTTTAAATCAATAGACTGGGCTTTAGTTGTGTCTGGCAATATAGATAACCACACTTCAATTAATGGGCCAATGAGACCTTTAGTTGTGTGGCAATGTAACTGGGCTTTAGTTTTATGATGCCTGCAGTTCAACTAAAGGCCCAACGAAACTGTAGTTGCCTAGCCACATTATCCAGTCTGAATTAATCTACTTTGTAGCCTTTGCTAGATTGGCTTTTACCAATTTATGTGTTTGAAAAAACTAACCTGTTAATTTTTATAATATTATAATGGAAGAGTAATTATTAACCTAATATATAAATCAGGGAGATTCTATTGTCCCGTTATGGAGTCATTCTGTCAGGGTTTGTAACTGTTGGTATCTAAAACAATATTTGTTAAATACTAATACTTAATTATATGGGAGAGAGTAGTATATGGGAGCAGATTTCTTTTCAATGCTATTTTTCTTTCTTTTCTTCTTACTTCAAACATTCACGGACAACATACATATATAGTAGTTTGAAGAAAACTCTAGACCACTAATTATTTCAACTACTAACCACTTTCTTCCTAACATCTAACTAATAACAATTAATTCAACTAATTCCAACTTATTCTAGAATGTGCATTATTAATTTAACACTCCCCCTTAATGCACATTTGGATAATTCTAAGTTTTTCGCTCAAAGTCTCAAATCTTGGTCTCGGTAAAGCCTTTGTGAAAATATCCGCAAGTTGTTCTTCAGTGGCAACATACTTGAGCTCTATCTGCTTGTCATTAGTTGCTTCACGTAGAAAGTGATATTTGATAGCAATGTGTTTAGTCCTGCTGTGATGTACGGGATTTTTCGCCATTGCTATCGCTGACTTGTTGTCACAGAATATCTCCGTTGGACTTTCTTGGTGTTCTTCCATGTATCCAAGAATACGCCTAAGCCAAATAGCTTGACTTGTCGTTAGTGCTGCTGCGACGTACTCGGCCTCTGCTGATGATTGCGCCACACAGTCTTGCTTTTTAGATGACCACGAGAATATGCCTGATCCGAGTGAAAATGTGTAGCCTGAGGTGCTTTTCATGTCGTCAGTTGATCCAGCCCAGTCACTATCTGTGTAGCCGACCAGTCTTGAATCTTTGCTATATTCGTATTGGATTCCGTAGTCTTTAGTACCCTGTAAATATCGTAGTATTCTCTTTGCGGCTCCATAGTGAACTTGGCTCGGACATTGCATGAACCTTGACAGTAAACTTGTTGCGTACATGATATCTGGTCTTGTGGCCGTTAGATATAGCAGACTTCCAATCAAACTTCGGTATGTGGATGCGTCTGCATTTGGTGTACCATCTTCTTTGGTGAATTTCTCGTTCGCAACCATGGGAGTAGCCACTGGTTTACATCCGTCCATTTTGAACCTTTTTAGTAGATTATCTGTGTATTTCCTCTGTGAGATAAATATCCCATTTTTTTCTTGGGTTACCTCAATGCCGAGAAAATAGCTCATTTGCCCAAGGTCGGTCATCTCAAAAGTCTTCATCATATCTTCTTTGAACTCCTTAATCATCTCCTCATTGTTCCCTGTATAAATAAGATCATCGACATAAAGAGAAACAATGAGTTTGTTGTCATTACCTTGGGCCTTGATGTAGAGTGTTGGCTCAATTTCGCTTCTTTTGAATCCATGACTGATGAAGTAGTCATCAATTCGGCTGTACCAAGCCCGTGGGGCTTGTTTCAATCCGTAAAGCGCCTTCTTTAGCTTTAGGACTTTATTTTCTTGTCCTTCTGCTACGAACCCTTGAGGTTGTTCGACATAGATCTCCTCTTCCAGGTAGCCATTGAGAAATGCAGATTTAACATCGAGCTGGTAAATTCTCCATTTCTTCTGAGCTGCAAGTGCGATTAGAGCTCTTATGGTGTCAAGCCGAGCAACTGGAGCGAATGTCTCGTTGTAGTCGATCCCGGGCAATTGTGAGTACCCTTTAGCGACCAGTCGCGCTTTATGTTTTTGGATTGATCCATCTGGGTTAAGCTTCGTCTTGTAGACCCACTTAACTCCAATGACTTCCTTGTCGTTTGGTGGATCGACCAACTCCCAAGTTTTATTCTTTTCGATCATCCTGATTTCTTCCTCCATGGCTTTTACCCATTCTTTTTCTTTACAGCTGCTTCAAAGCTTTCAGGTTCCATTGTGGCAAAATTGCATGTCTCGTAGATCTCCCTGAGTGTCCGTACTTTTCTCGGTGGTGATTCTGGGGATGACAGTTCGTCCATTGATGGTGTTGTTGTCCTCGGACTCGAAGGTTGTGAAGCTGGAGGTGATTGTGTACCTTCTGCTTCATCTTCATGTTCTTCCGGAATGGTATTTTGCCTCCGTCGTGTAGGTACCATGATATTTTGGTATTCGACTTTTTCTTCCTCCCAGTTCCACACAGCATTTTCATCGAACTCGACATCTCGACTGATAATTAGTTTACCAGTATTGAGAATGTAAATTCTGTAGCCTTTAGATTGAGAGGCATAGCCGAGGAATATGCCTTTTTCGGATTTCTCTTCCAATTTTATGCCTCTTTTCCTGTGGGATGTGCACGTAGCAGATACTCCCAAAGACTCGTAGATGTTGAGCTGACGGTTTTCGTCCACTCCAAGCTTCTATTGGAGTTTTATTTTGGACAGCTTTCGTAGGACACCTGTTGAGTAGATAAATTGCAGTGTTTACAGCTTCTGCCCAAAATTCTTTGGGCATGTTCTTCTCCGCGAGCATTGTCCTGGCCATCTCTTGTACGGTTCTGTTTTTCCTTTCTGACACGCCATTTTGCTCTGGAGCATAGCCGACAGTTAGCTGATGGTTGACTCCTTCATCCTCATAGAATTTGTTGAACTCCTTGGATGTGTATTCTGTTCCTCGATCACTCCGAAGTACTTTAATTCTTCTTCCACTTTGATTTTCGACGAGGCTTTTGAATTTCTTGAAAATGGAGAAGACTTCGGACCTTTCTTTCATGAAGTACACCCAAGTCATTCTTGTATAATCATCAATAAAGAGGATGAAGTACCTGTTCTTCTCGAAGGTTGGCGTCCTCATTGGTCCACACACATCTGTATGCACCAGCTCCAGTATTTGTTTGGCTCTTCCTGCTTGGCTTGAAGGAAATGGTTTCCTATGTTGTTTTCCTTCCATGCACTTCTCGCAGATATTGTCGTTCAATTGAATGGCCGATAGATTTTTCATCATATTTTTCTGATGGAGTAACTTTAGCCCGTTGAAGTTGAAGTGCCCGAACCTTCGGTGCCATAGCCATGATTGATCTTCTTGGGCTTTTAGTGCTGCTTCTATGAATTTCCAACGGAGAGGAAAGTTTCTCCGTTGTTGCATTTTTACTACAGCTATGGGATTGTTTTTGTTGTCATAAATGGTGCAAGAGTTGTCTTTAAAGAGTAGTGTGTATCCTCTTTCCACCATTTGTCCCACGCTGAGTAAATTAGTATCAAGTTTTGGTACTAGCAGCACATCTTCAACGAGACGAGTACCTTTTTGAGTCTCGACCTCAATTGAACCTTTGCCTTCAACTTCTACTAAATCTCCATTTCCCAACCGAACTTGTGATTTTACAGATCTATCAATATTTTTAAATTTCTTTTCATCTCCGGTCATATGGTTACTGCAGCCGCTATCTAGGAACCAAATATCATTTTTCTCATCTGAAATTGCATGATTTGCATAAAATAGCAAATTTTCTCCTTTTTCATTTTCTTCAGAGAAATTTGCTTGATATCTTTTAGTGCGGCAATTTTTCTCCACATGACCGAATTTACCACAATTTTTACATTGTGGTTTATCTCGGTACCAACAATCCTTCTCAAGATGGTTGGTTTTCTTACAAACTCCACAAGGTGGATATTTTCCTTTTTGTTTATTATTATCATTTCCACCTTGATTTTTATTTTTACTATTTTCTCCAAATCTTCTCCCCCCAATTCTAGAATTCTGAGACCGTAAATTTAATTTTGACTGAAATGCATTTTCGACTGTGTCATTCTCACGCATACTCAGTCTTTTTTCATAGGCTTCCAGTGAACCTATTAATTCTGTTACTGACAAATGATCCAAATCTTTAGTTTCTTCTGTCGTCGTGACAATAGGATCATATTTGGCTGGTAGAGTAATTAGAATTTTTTCTACCACCCTTTTGTCAGTAATATTTTCTCCATATGCTTTTAATTGATTTACTACTTCTCTTAATCGAGTGTAGTAATCTTTTACAGTCTCAGATTCTTTCATCTTCATATTTTCCAAATCTCTTCTTAGAGTTTGTAATTTCAGATGACGTACCTTGTCGCTACCCTGATATTCTTCCTTGAGAATATCCCATGCCTCCTTTGATGTCTGTGCTCCACTAATTCTCGGAAACAGGGACTCCGACATGGCCATTTGTAGTGTGAAAAGAGCCAAACTGTCTTTCTCCTTCTCTCGGTCGAATTTTTCTTTGTCCGCCGTAGACAAAGTAGAAATGTCATCGGGTATAGTATACCCGTTCTCGACAATATTCCATAGGCCTTGAGACATAAAATATGTTCTCATTTTAATAGCCCAATAATTATAATTTTCACCGGAGAAAATAGGGATTGATATTTGGTGGGTGTTTTGGGAAGTGGCCATAATAAAGATTTAGAAGGATATATGAAAATGGGGTATTTGGACAAGATATGTAAAAATAGGAGGATATTGGAAAATAATTTCGCCCAGCTATTGATCCAACCGGGCTCTGATACCACTGTTGGTATCTAAAACAATATTTGTTAAATACTAATACTTAATTATATGGGAGAGAGTAGTATATGGGGGCAGATTTCTTTTCAATGCTATTTTTCTTTCTTTTCTTCTTACTTCAAACATTCACGGACAACATACATATATAGTAGTTTGAAGAAAACTCTAGACCACTAATTATTTCAACTACTAACCACTTTCTTCCTAACATCTAACTAATAACAATTAATTCAACTAATTCCAACTTATTCTAGAATGTGCATTATTAATTTAACAGTAACCCTTAGATCAACTATCCATGACGGTTACAGGATGATCTAACGGTTACAAATCCCGACGGAATGATTCCGTAACGGGACTGTAGCATATCCCAATCAATCAATCTGATAATGAAAAAAATATTGAACAAACACCAACAAAATCATAATCATCAAGCAACAAAATGTGTACAAAAACTTATTAACTAATCAAATTTGATTTTAATTATTCAGATAAGCTGTAGAGATTAAAAGTACTAATTAAGTACTGATTAGCACATTAGCAACCATTAAAAATAATTTTTCCGAAAAACAAATTAAGCAACACAATTTAAAACGTACCATTTTAACCAGTAGTCTTTTTTCAAGGAAACACAGTACATAGCAAGCATACATATTAGGAAAACCCTAATGACATAATTAAAGAAAAAACTAATTGTTACTTAAACACAAACACATTCAACATACTAATAATTAGTACATAATAACGTGTTTAGGAAAACAAAGGCTTTGTCATTCTCTTTTCTCAGTAAGGAGAAAGGCCCACGTTGGCAGGCGAGAGAAACCCGTTGTCCTTCATATTCAGCACATCCTCTCCTTCCTACAAAATGAATTTTCATTTCATGCATTCATTTTTTTTTTTAAATAAAAAATTGAATATAAATTTAAATAGACTGATTTTTTTTGAGTAAAATTATGAGTTGATGTCGTAAAATAGAAACAAAAGTATGACGTTTTATGTCATAAATATGTACTTCCGTCACAAAATTATGGCAGGTCGACCCGTGTATAACATGAAAAGTCATAATCCTAACGACTAATATTTTTTAGTATAAATATGATTTTATGTTGTTAAATTATGGTTGCCGACACGCCTAACGGTCAGACTGCACCATACAAGAATTTGCCAAAGGAAAAAAAGTGGATACATCTTTTTTCTTTTCTTTTTTCTCACAAAAAACGAGTAGTTTTTATAGTATAACTATGAATTTGTTTTGAAAAATTATGGCAACCGACCCGCCTAACGGTCAGACCGAATCTTCGTTTTTTTTTTTTTTTTTTTTCATATTCTCACAAGAGATAATAAATAGTTAGTGTGAAAAATGTGTGAAGATGTTTTTTTTGAAGTGGCTAAAATTTAGGGTTTGGGGAATACCTGTTGGCACACATTTGGCTTCTTCACGGGTTGCTCAGGCATCAGTCCGAAGTGAATGTGGGGAAAGTGGGCCCACTGTCACACAACAATCACAATTAAAATATATATCAGAGAAATACTACATTCGGAATCATACCGTCGGAATTTGTAACCGTTAAATCATCATGTAACCATCGTGGATAGTTGATCTAACGGTTACAAACCCCGACGGAATGATTCCGTAACGGGACCGTAGAATCTCTCTATATATCAATATAGTATAAGTTAAAATATCAATATAGTATAAGTTAAAATTTGAAAAAGAGAGACAGAAAAACAGCCCTAGTAATAAAAAATAATCTTTGTTAAAAACCCTAAGTACCTACTATAATTAGGTTTGAATTATTATTTTACTTACTTTTTGGAAGTTACAAATCAATTTATTATTATTATATAATTAAATTCTCACATTTTTAGCAGCTGCACTGAAAGCCTCCCTATGGCTTATATCAGGATTTCCAGCTTTGATACGCTGGATCTCATCCCTGCCCGAAAAAATAAATCGATAAACAAATAAAATATATTTTATGAAGTTCAGTTTCTTTCGTTGAAGTAATAATGAATTAATTATGTGCTAAGGAAAAAGCTCTCGACCCAATGGATATTTCATACACACACATTCAAATGTGTGCGTGTGCGTGTGCGTATGCGTGTGATCTGACGGTTCAAATTCGATGGGTCGAATTTCCCATAATAAACATAGAAAACACAGACATTTTATATATCAATAAAAACACATCTTTATGTGTGTATGTGTGTGTGTGGAGTAGTATCTATCTATCTATGTAATTTGTGTATGTATATGTGTAAGTATATAATTAACTCACTTTATGAACCGGTTGTAAGCCGATGGCACTCTCTGTCTTTTCTCCGGAGCTGAAATAATAATGAACCACAAAAATACAAAAAAAATAAAAATAAAAAACAAAATTGGCCATTAATTTCACCTTTTTTGGATTTGTATTGTCATCCTTTTCACCTCATCACTGCTTCATCATTATCTAATCATTTTGTTTTTCACTTTCTTATTAATTATTTCCTATCATGATTTCCGGGGGAAAAATATATGTTCTCTTTCTATTTCCTAATTAATTTGCAAACGGAAAAAAAATAAAAAAACCCAACATTATATTTTTCTTTTTCCAATTTAAATTTATTCTACATATGATATTATTTATCACATGTATGTGATTAAAAGAGTTACAGTCGTTGACGATTATGGTGATAACGAATTAACCAAACGAGCACACGAGCATCTCGTTTCGTTTAACAGCTAGATTCAGTGTTTGAATAAATTCCAAATTAGGGTTTTTTTTTTTCCAAAGTATAAAGATAATGTGAAAAACAGAGCAACTAATTGCATATGCAAAATTCTACATCTTAAAGTTGAAAAACTTTTACACTTTTAACACTATTTTCCTCACAAATGCAAACACATTACAAAAGAATTGAAAGATAAGTTGTGCAGTGTTTGTGTAGAATAAGGTTGGACAACTGTTGAAGAGTAAACTCAAAAACCAAAGCAGCAGTTTCAGTTTTCTCGTCTTAGTATAGCTAACTACGTACTGTGCACTCGAAAGGTCCGTGTTCGTGATGTTTGAGAATATCCCGATTATTCACACAGACATAAAAAAAAATAAAAAAAAAAATATTAGAAAGAAAGAGAAAAACAAGACTCACGTCTGTTAGCCACCGGAGGCTTAGGCAGCTCGTCGAGCCCTCTAACCGGCATAAAGGGCTCGTTTGGGTTCGGCTGGTTTACAAGCAAGTTAGCCGGGCTACGAATCTCCTCCTGAAAATAAATAAATAAAATAAACAAACAACAAACACTTCTTTTTTGATAAACAAATAAATAAATAAATATTTTTTAAGAAAAAACCCTAATTTTGAATCGAATCGAAACATATGAAACAAAAACCCTAATCCTTATGTCTACTCAATCAATCAATCAGTTAGTTAGTTACCAGAAGGTTTTGCGGAGAAAAGAACGAGTGGCCGAGATGGAGCTGATTGGCCGAGGGGACGAGCATCGCGTGCGTGTTGACCGACAGCAAACTGGTGCAGTGTCCGCATCTGACCGTAACAGGTTTGAACAAGCTCGAGTTCGGTACGCTTACCTGAAGTGAAAAGAAAAAAAAAAAAAAAAAAGAAAGAAAAAATATCATATATATATAAATATATATTCATTTTTTAATTTCTATCTTTTTTTTACTCTCCCAAAAAATTGAATTTTTATCTTTCTTTTTTTCTCTACTGAGAAAAATTGTCCGCTTACCGCAAGAACTGTGTCGCAGAATCGGCAGTGGACGTAGCAGAGCTGCTCGGAAGGTGGCGGAAGGAGCTGCTGGTGGGGGTGGTAGTCGGCGGTGGGCCCGGTTACGGAGGATGACGACATTATTATTCTTTTTAATTATTATTGTTGGAGAATTTTGTAGATAATTCTTGAATTTTTTTTTCACTTTTTTATTTTTTTTGGTTGGGTTTGGGGTTTGGTGTATGAGGATCTTGTGAAGGGTTTTTTTTCAGTTGATTTGATTGATTGATTGATAGATAGATAGATGGATTGAGTGATGAGGTGTGTGGGTGTATATAAGGAGAGAATATGTGTGGAGGGTTTTTTTTGACAGATTAACCAAACCTTGGATTTGATCTTCTGAATGTTTTCTTTTTTGGGGTGGGACTTTTGAGCTATGAGAGAGACAAAGAAGCTCTGAGGAGAGAGAGAGAGAGAGAGAGAGAGAGAGAGAGAGAGAGAGAGAGAGAGAGAGAGAGAGAGAGAGAGAGAGAGAGAGAGAGAGAGAGAGATGGTAGGGTTATGGGGGAAGAGAGAAAATGGGGGGGGTGCCCACTTAATATATTAGTAGAGAATTTATTACATTGATAAAGTTGTGTGTTCTTTTATGTGTTATGTAATTAATAGTTATGCCATCACTTTGTGTGATTCTTTATGTTTGTTATTAACTCGTTATCCCCTACTTTTCCTCATGTTATCATGTGTTAATTAATAGGGCAAATTAGTTTGTTATGTCATGACTTAAAAAAAAAAAAAAAAAA